ATATTTAGTTAAATGCTAAAGTTATTAGACTTTTTCGAAATTTCGATTTTCAACTTGGATAAACCAAAATTTCTAAACAAATAATTTTAAAGAGCTATTAAAATCAGAGACTAAGTACAAATAAGTACAAATATAAATAAAGTACAAATTTAAATAAATAAAAAACTTTATTGACTAATTATATTAACCGCGGTATTTGAGAAAAAGTACAAATTTTAAAAGTCCAAAAATGGCAAAAAATAAATATAAAAATTATTTATGGATTATTTTTATAATTATTTAATTGGTCTCTTGGTTAATTAAGAAATTTGCACTTAAGTAAATTATTACTATTAATAATTAGTAAAAATTTGTAGGTTGTTTTTAAATTTAGAAATTTCTGAAATCTTAAGGTAAAAGTTTTTTAAATACAAGAAAATTTTAAGATTTATGTTGTTGAAATTTTATTATTTATATTAATTATAGTCCTAATTATGTCATCGTTTCGGAACCATTTTGGTTCCGAAGATTGTCAGGTTCAGTTGGTTTAGAATATCCGAAAAATTTTGAAGAACTGACATGCATAGTCCCAATTGCAGAATTTGTTAAATATTCATCATGTTGCAATATTAATAATTCTTAGCCACAAGAAAATAGAGTTAAATTGAAGAAGGGAGAAAGACTTGCCATCTAAGTACATAGTAAGGAAAAATATAATGTAGGAAAAAAGAAGATAAAAATGGGGCGCGGATAATAATAGTACCCAATTTTTATAGAAATAATAGTACCCAATAATAGTACCCAATTTTCAAAAGTTAGCAAATATTCGAATAATTTGAATAAACTTGTTTAGAATATAATTAAATATAATAATTTAATTTTGTCGAGACACCATGAATAAAGTCTTTTTTGACATTTTCATCATATGCTAGTAAATAAGAGCCGTTCGAAATTTCGATTTTTGACATTGGCAATCAAGATTTCGATCCATGTATTTCGAAACAAGTCTTAGAGACAAAAGGGGGTACAAATCTATCCAAACTACAAAATTTTATTTACTCATTATATTAACCAAAGTGCAAATTTTAAAATCACTCGGTGAGAAAATAAATATAAAATAACAAAAATACATTTTATAATTTACCGTCTTATTTTTAATTAATTTACTTGATCTACTTGACTTTATACGTCCAATCGAACCTTATGAGTCCAATCAAAAAAATTAAATTTTTTTGTGTCGCAAAGTTGGGTATGGTTCCTAGATTTCTACATGTTTCGGAACAACGCCCATTGGGTCTGGGCCGTTTATTTTTAAGAATTTCGGAAAAACGATTTTAACTTTTAAAAATTTCGAGGGATAAGGTAAGGAACGGTCGCAGACCAGTGAGCTTAGGTCACGAACATGAAGAAATATTTTGGAAACATATCCTTACTTTGCAATACTATGTAACATTCAATTATTTCTTCATTGGACTCATAAAGTTTGTTGGATTCATAGAGTCAAGTAGAACTAATATTTTTAATATTAAAATTTAAGATGAATAAATTTATTATTATTCTTTTTGTTTCATATTTGGTTGTTCTGTTGAATATCCAAATTAACGGTAGAATGGTTGAGGTTGGATTAAAAATAAAAGAAGATTGGAAACGAAAAAGAGAATTTATTTATTTAAAAAATATTCAAATAAAGGAGCGTTTTGTATTGATAATGAATGTAAAACAAAGAAGTAGAATAGTTGATTATCTTTATAAGAATACCGGATCGTTTTGTAAGCTTGAAGTAAATCCTGTTAATAATGCTTCTATTGTTAAACTGAATAAGGGGCATAAATTTAGCTCTTAATTAAAAATGCGAATTTTGATTGAACTTGCAAATAATGAAATTGTCATGAAATTATTGAAAAACTTGGGAAAACAGGTAATTTATATTTGATTATTCGAAATTTAAGCCTTCAATAATACACGAATTTATCATATCTAAGATTCGCCTAAATAATAATTTTATTATGAACAATAATTATTATGAAACTTCTATATTAGAAGATTGTGTAGAAAATATAAATAAAAAAGAATTATTAAAAGAAAATATAGAGTCCTATAAAAACAAACTTTTATCAAGTTATTGGACGGAAATTAATTTAATTGGATATAAAATTGAATTGTTAGAAAAACAAAAAGTTGAATATCCGAAGGAAGAATTAAAAAGCAAAATTATCTATTTTGGCGATAAGATAGGTACCGTAAATGCTCTAATTGAAGCACAGGCTCTATTTGAAGCACAGTCTCTAATAGAGGCACACCCTACGAGAGGATCGAAAAATAAAGGCACAGTCTCTAATTGAAGCACAGTCTCTAATAGAAGCACACCCCTAGTATACCGCTGAAAAAGTACATCATTTCTATTTTTTAAAGTAGAGTTCGACATTTGAAAAATAAAGGCACAGTCTCTAATTGAAGCACAGTCTCTAATAGAAGCACACCCCTAGTATACCGCTGAAAAAGTACATCATTTCTATTTTTTAAAGTAGAGTTCGACATTTGAAAAATGCCGTATTCTTAGCCGTATCCGGATTTTAAAATTTTTTAGACAGGACAAAATTTTTGAATCAATATCAGGATTTTAAGCCGATCCGGACTCGGATATTCAAAAAATTTCTTTATAGAAATTGCGCAAAAAATATGCGAATTAGTGTAAAATTGGGAAAGCGGGACATTAAACTTGTGAGATAAATCAAAGGTAGTTGAGGGATATCAAGAGGGTTATTGTTGGATTTGGAGAAGATTTGAGCTATATATGAAATGAAGCTGAAGCTTCATGCTTTATGCGCCATATGAAATTCATGAGTACAGGATTTCCTGGGCTCTATGATTAAATCAGGGCTTGTTCCTTTCAGCACGACATCCGAAAATTTTGAAAATTTTCGCAAGAAAAAATTCATGAAGCTGGTTTGTTAGAAAAATTTATGTAAATTTATAAGTTCAATTGAAATTTAATTTTTGTTTTGTATTATGTGGGGTAAAAATCATTAAAAAATTGAAAAATAGATCGAAAAATAAAAGCACAGTCTCTATTTGAAGCACAGTCTCTAATATAAGCACACCCTACGAGAGGATCGAAAAATAGAAGCACATGTGCTTCAATTAGAGCATTTACGGTAATTATATTTTTATTAAATTTAAATGATTTTTTAATATTACAGCTGATATTGTTAATGGATTTATTCACCGATGTTTCATTTGTAGAAATACACAAAGCAGACTTTGGTATAAACACCTTAAAGAGAATTATTTTTGCTGCGCTTGTCACAAGTATAATCTGAGAAACAATGGCGAGACTAGACCGACGAACTTATGGCTTAAAACTAAAGAGGTTTCTTTTTTTATAAATATGGGAAATTTGTAATAGTTAGACATTATTTCAAATCTAAATATTCTAGAAAGTTTCAAATGATCGAAGTTGTTGTATATGCGGTCATAAAAATAAATCACCATGGTACCGATATTCAGAACCTGGACTCTATATGTGTATGAAATGTCACAGAAAACAATGTAGAACAGAAAGGAAAACAAATAAAAATGCAAGAGAAAGAGATACGAATATATAGTTATTTAATGATTAAAGACTGGTTTTTAAATTACAATCTATTATATTATTTTTCCCGAAATAATTATGTTGAGAAAATAATTTTAATTAAATTTATTTTATAGTAGTTTGTAAACCAGCATATTTTTTAAGTTCGATAAATTTTATTCAGTTTTTATTGCATATTTTATTTTGTTTTGTAAAATATTTTGTAAAATACTACATATATAAAAAAAGAATACGAAATAAAAGTTTGTCATTTTAAAGGTAAATTTGTAAATGTCGTGAAAATAAATTTAGTTATTTTTAAATAATCAAAAAGAATGAAAAAGAAACGGGTTACTCGGCAAAAGAAAATATTTTGTTAGTTTATATTTTGTATAGTTGAATACAGAAATTATATTACTGACGTTTTCTTGATTAATTTGGTTAGTGAAAGTTGGAGAAATTTTTATAAAGATTTGGCTTTGACAGAAAAATTTATCTCCCATCCCTCACTACTCTTAATTATCTCCCGCGAAATCTTTATAAGTTGGTGCATCTCTTCACTTTTTAAACATCAATTAAAATGTAGGCATTTCCCTTTTGTTCCGAATTCTGTATTGTTCCAGAGGGAAACTTACTGAAAATTTTAACTAAACAATAATTTTTTGCCTTTAATTTAAAAAATAGCGATTCCAATAAAAATTTAAAAGTGCAATTTATATTTAAAATTTTATTTAAACAAGGAAATATATTATTTAAAGTGACTATTAAAATTAATTGTCTGTCTAGAATTTATTTAATTTAAGCGTGATTTGCATTGTTGTCTATACATCCATCACCTCGAGAAGAAACACGCGATTGCACTTTTAGCCTGTCTAATTGTCTGGCTATTTAATTATAAAATTCCTTTAAATTTTAGAGGCAATAAAAGCTTTAAAGTATTCCAAGGGCATTCAGAAAAAAATTTTATTTTAAATTATATAAAAAAATTATTTAAGCAGAATATTTTATTTTCAAAATTTAACTTTCTGTTTTTTTTATTTTCTCGATAGAAGAATCGTGATATCAAATATCTTTTAATCCATCTGTCTTTTTAAAATGCTTGCATTAAAGTAGACGTTACCTTGTGTCCAAAATCGAAAAACGTCTGGGTATACAAAATTTTCAATTCGCATATTCGGTTCCGTATATCCGAGGATTTCCCAAAACCGATAACCAAAGTCTGCATTCCCTAGTAAATTTTAAAGAGATTAGACCTACAATAGTAGTCTATCTCTATTATTTCGGCTTTTCAGTCCAGATGATGACATTTTATAGAGATCCCAATTCATAAACATTTGTGGAGAGAAAAACATGTATAATATACAAAAGCTCCGAGTAGTCAATTAAACATTAAAAAATAGGTCCTAACTTGATATATTGAATGACAAATAGAAGAAATTAACAAATAGAAGAAATTAAAATATTAAATCCAACAGTAATGAAATATTTGGTAAATTATCAGGAATTTACCAAGCTGTGCAAATTTTCGGACAAGCAATTGACAAATAAATATCATAACAATAATATTTTCAAAGATTCGCCAAAAGGAGTGCCCGACGAAATTAAAAACTTACATGTTTGTTTGCTGAAATAGTTAAATTAAAACGGTTAGCCATATCTTAGTCCCTCGTTTTGGGTTGGTGTTAAATTAGATTTGTGTAAGCTTCAGAATAAGTGAAGTATGCCGAGAGTTCTTCCCTATAAGACACGAAGAACTCAACTCTGAGCTCAATGGCTCATCTCCTTTTGCATATTCCATGAGTCATATCCGCATTCTTGTTTACTATTAATTTCACGAGGATAATTTAGTGGCGATGTTAAAATTAGATAATGGCGGTTAAATATCTATCTAGCTAGTCTCTTAGATCAAGTTAGACAATCTCCTAGATAATCTTTATGAGATGTTCTTTGTACTATTGAAGCTGAAACATAAGGGATTAGCAGTCTATATGACCAAATTTTCATTTATTTCTTCAATTTTATTATTAAAATCTAAAAATTTTAGCCCTTATATCTGTCAACAGTTGAATTGAAAAAACTTTCTTTTGATTCAATATTAAAAGCTCGTGGAGTTTGCGAACAGCCAGAAATTCGAAAGGAATATAAACATTATACAGAAATTATTGAATTTTTAAAAAAATTAAATATTCAATTCACGCCAAATAATAAAGGAAAAAAATTTTCAAAACATGACCGTAAAAATTTTAAAATAATAACAAAATATAATCCGGCAGCTAACAAAGAGAACGCAATCAACTAAAATTACTTGAGGAGAATTCAACTAAAAATTTGAATGAACATAATCTTGAGGAATGAAGTTTTTGTGCATACGTAACTAAAAATCCCGAAATATGCTTAAAAATATGCCAGATCTAGTGTAAACATTTTTGTATTTCTTTATGTATAATCATTTTGTATATTATAAGTCTACATATACCAGAAAAATCATTTAACTCAAAATTAGGTGTCTAAATACAACACTGAAAATCTTTTATAATTTTCTAGTAATTCACATTCTTTTGATTGTATTTGTAAAATTATTTGATAAAATTCCATTTGATTACATTTTTATGTAAAAAAGAGTGTGGGCAGGGACTTTTTACGCAGCCTGTATATAAAATTTTATAATTTACAAAAGAATGAATTACAAAAGAATGAATTTACAAAAGAATGAAAATAGGAAAGAAAAATAAATTTTAAATGAATAGAATTAAATAAAAGTTTTTGGGAATTTTTTTGGATTCTTTGAATGTTGTTTGTTTTTTTGGTTTTTTTTAGTTTTTGGGTTTTTTTAATTTTGTGTTTTTAGGATTTTTTGTATTTTATGGTTTTCGGTTTTTTTGATTAGTTTTGATTTTTAATGTGTTTTGGATTTTTTTGTTTTAATAAAGCGACCCAAAATTTACAAATGGCTGAAAATACGAAAGTAAATAAAATAGATAGAATTAACAATTTTTTGGATTTTGTGTGGTTTTATAATGTTTTTGTAGATTTTTTGATTTTTTTTAATTCTTTAAAATTTTTTAGATTTTTTACTCAATTATATAGCCTAATTGTCGAAGAAATTCTTGCTGAGCATCTGTCAGTAATTCCACTGATTGTCGCTGAGCATCTGTCAACTCCTTTCGACATATTGCTTTCATCTCAAAACCAAGACCAATTTTGCTTAATTTCCCATTTAACTCAGCAACCGCTGGATGTATAAAAATTTCCAGCTCAGCACGGCAATAAGAACATTTGTCATAGTTACTTTCGGCATCTTGAAAGCATTTTAATATAAAATTCCTATGGTAGAAGTGTCCAAAGCTAGTCATATCAATTTTTTGATTTTTATTGTAATCTCCAAGACAAATTGGACATGTTGTTTGCTCCTTTTTTACAGCTTCGTCAAATACAATCTCCATCATTTTTTTCTAAAACGAAATTAATCGCTATATAATTAAAAAAATGTTTAAAAAAATAATACAAAAATTTCAAAATTTTAATAGAGATTGACTGTACTCAATTAACTTGTAACTTTGATGAGTAAAATATCATTGAACTTAGATAGCAAATTGCAAGTTAAATATCGAAAACCAAGAGATTCGCGTGACCAGAGATTTGGTATTCGGACATTTGGAATAGTGGAGATTTCAAAAATAACAAAAATAATTTTTTGGGCAATCCAAGTATATTGTACGAGGACGATATTACAGAGATATTTGATGTCCTCGTACTCGTATTTCATACACAGTAGGAATACAAATTTAGAGTGACCTCGATAAATGGTAGCGCTTCAGGCAAAATTTCGAAAATTCTGAAAAGTTAAGTACTTTGGGCTGCGGTACCTTGGGGTTTACCTTTCTGGAAGAACATTTAGCCAAATTTCTTTCGTTTTTAGCGCTGCAGGCGAAAATTTTGTGAAATTTGAAAGAGCAAGAAGTCAGATATCTTCCATTTTTGGCGCCACAAGGTCAGTTTCTGGTCAAATTTAATCCAGGACTCTGGATTAAGGTTAGTACCCTGGACAAGATTCTGGATCTGGGTCCAGGAAAAATCCAGATCCAGAAAAAATCCAGGACGATCAAAAAATGCCTGGATCTGGATTTTGGATCCAGGAAAAATCAAGACAAGATCCAGACCGATCTCTAATGGATTCTACTGTAAGCCAGAAATGTTTCGAAATAAAAAATCTTTGAAAATCGGATATAGAACATTGAAAAAAATAGAATAATTAGGAAAAAATTTCCATCTGTTTGGTTCGGAGCTAAGAATAGGGATGGAAATCTTAGGAACTTCTCAGATATATAGATCTGGAATGAGAAAATTTTCTCTGCGCAACAGTGAAGATAATCAGTTGTTAGAAAAATCCTCACAAACTAATGATGGCCAAACTTATTGAATTACCGATTACCATGATTTACCCTCTGATTCCCCTTCAACACCAGAGCTATCTCCGATATCCGTACAAATCTCCTTTTATCTCACTTATTTTAGAAGGCAAGAAGCTAGATTTCTAACATCTTTAGCGCGCAGAAAAATATTAAGAATTTTGAAGGCCAGAGTCTTCCATTTTCAGCGCCGCGGTAAAGATTTAAGAGATAAGATAGATTACTAGCATTTTCTGCCCTGTCACTCAAAAAAAGTTGGAAAAAAGACAAAATATAGATCATACATTTATAAACTTTGGCAAAACTAACTACTATAATAATAGAAGAAATAATTAATACATTATTGCGCCACAGACGAAATTTTTTTTTAATTCACGATGCAATAAGAGCCGGAATTTTTTCATTTTCAATTTTTTTCAAAATATTACAAAAATTCGAAATTGAAAAAAACCCCTCGAAAATCGAAATTTCAAAACAACTTTGCCGTAATGCCGTAATCAAAGATACCTCAATTTTGCAATGTTTTTAGACCTTTCATTTTAAATTCATATTCATTTAAACATTACAATTATAACAATGGTAAAACATACTTTGCAATCCTCTTGAACGTGTTTCAAAATTTTAAATTTTCCATCATAGCAGTACTTGTTAACTTCCTCAATCGTTGTTATATCATTACCAATCATTTTATTTATTTTCACTTTTCGAACATTTTTTGACTCTCCTTTTTTCTTTAATAATTCATCTAATATTTTCCTATTCTATAAATTAATTTAGATTAATGTTTTATTTTCTCGGAACTTATAGCTTTGAATAGATTTGGCGAATTCTGGGATCATTCCGGATATCAGGATCCAATTTCCGAACATAATTTATCGAGATATCCGCACTTTTGAAAATCTGTATATACGAATTCATCATGTTAGGAGCTTCTCTTTACAACATTGATAGCCCCCGCATACTCTTGGTATATTTGGAACGCAGTGTACAGCTAGCAATAGGGGAATCATCTTATATGTATTTAATAAAAACAACACTAATTTTTATTAAATGATTGTTGGTTTTCGGAATAAGGGAGTACCGGTTCAACCAGAATTATATGATACATTTTAGATTAATACATAGAAGAGTAAAGTTACTAAATGATATAGCACAATAAAATCATATCAATCTAAACGATTTTTTTCAATTTTTAAGCTCAATGTATGCCCTAATGAATAATTTTTTTTAATTTTACAGTTTCAAAATGAGAGTTTGGCTGAAGTCGATCTATAACATCACCAATTATTTTATAACAATCATTGTAAAGATTGAACTCTTCAAAAGATGCCGTGCTATATTCTCTCATCAATTCTTTTAATATTTGTCTTAGAATATTCGTTTCATTTACTGTACTCGAAGATCCACCACCGCTTTCTATACCAGATCCAACGCCACGAGATTCACCACGTCCTGAACTTGAAGCCTCACCACGTTCATTGCGTCCATCATGTCTACGTCCTCCACGCCTACCACGCCCTCCACCATTTGATCTTGGTAGCAAAATTAAAATAAATATTAAAAAGTAAAGAATGTTGAATGTTTTTGACATTTTGTCTCTAGGAAAATTCTCCTCTTTAACTAAAATATTAAAAAAATAATTTTAAATACTTTAAGCTTAAAATATGAACTGTAGGTTGAAAATAATATGAAAAGGCGATATATGCAGGGTGTCTCTTTTACCCTATTTATAGAAGATTTTCTTTATTTTTGCTCTTTTCGCCCTATTATTTCCCTATTTTATATATTTGGCATATTTTGCCCTATTTTTAGCATTTTATAATATTTTTCAAATTTACTGAAATTTTGTAAATAAAATGAGAAAAAACAAAGAAATCTGACCTCCTGGAAATCTAAAATTTGAAAAAATTTTCGCCTTCGGCGCTGAAAAGGAGAGTACAGCTTATTATTAGAGATAGACGAGAGACTGTATTTTGCGCCATTATCGGTTCCAAATTCGGATATCTGAACTTTTCGGTTTGACTCCCAGTTCCGATTTTCGAGATTATTTCTCTGTAAACTTTCGATTTCAAAAATTTTTGAAACTAATTTCAGTTTCGGTATTCGTATTTCATCGATTTACAATTTTAGAAATATATTTTTTTAGAAACAGCTTCATCCTGATCTGCTCAATTAAGTTAAAACTAGTGGAGAACATGCGGAATAAAGATTTTTATTTAAAAATTTATTATTTTTAGATTTTTAACCTAATTCCATATTTTTTGCCCTATTTTTCCCTATTTTTTCCCTATTTTTTACTAATTTCGCCCTATTTTTGCCATATTTTCGAGTGGCTGCGCCATATTTTAGAGTTTTGGAAAAAATCACCCTGAGTATAACTGTAAAATTGTTTTTGGGAGTGGGCATAGGTTTAAAAAATTTTAAAATTAAAAAAAACTTTCACAACTTTAAATTAAATTTATTAGAAAAAATTTTACAAAACGGATAAAAAACTAAAGATGGGGAATCTATTTTTCTGTCCACTCTTAAAAGTGGTAGAAAATAATGAAATCAGTCAAAATTTGGGTAAAAAAATTTATAATTAATAATAATAATTTTAAAATAAAATTCTATATTCTCTATATTTTTCATTAGATTTAACTAAATTCTGAAGACGAATATTTTGGAACTCTTAAAAGCCAAATAAGCAAGATTCTTCCTTATCTACTAGTACTAAATCGGCGAACTAATGTGGAAATGTTGAATGATTTTGACAGCTTAATGATTGAAAAATTCAAGATTTTAAATAAAATAGTCAAAAATTTAATTTTTATTATGATAGATCAAATCAATCGAGTTATATGAAATATTCCGCACATCAAGATTAAAAATTCTCAATTCAAATACTTTG